GAAAATTGTACTACTGCTTCAGAAGGATCATGTTATGTAGTATTTTTTATAGTCAGGGCAAAAAAATGTAGCTGCCCATACAACTGCAAGATGCTTTTCACCTGTATGAAAAGTATAGTCACTGGTGCATGCAGCGTCCCAGATTGTGGGAGAGTTGTCCGACTGCTGGGTTAGGCCCAACATCCCCCAAGGCATCCCGGATTGCATGAGGATATAGGCCAGGCTGAGGGACCACACCCTCCATACACAAATTTCATTCACCAGGCCTCTAGTATCATACATAAAACTGTTCATATAATAAAACTAATAGAATGGAGAAAAGTATTGATTCACTTGCTTTTAAAATTATAGCAACATATTTTTAGAGAGCTGAAGAATTCCCACAGCAGAAACACTTTTACTCTTTTATTTTTTTTTCTACTAGAAATTCAAGCACTAATGCTGTCAACTTCAAAAGCAAGGTTCGGTTTGATACAATTTGCCATGAATTTACTACTAACTTTAAAATAGTTTAAGAAAGGAGTATAAGCTGATGACTGCAATCTACAATTCAATTGATGTTTGAAACATTTCTTTTATTGTGCACTTAGCTGTTCAACTTGTTATGTGGTCATTTATCATCTATTTCCAGCTTTTGAGGCCAAAGTGATAATTTATCATTTTATGTGCTTCAAAATTTCACTAGATTATAACTTTTTCTTAAGACAGTTGCAAGAGGTAAAAACTTAATTTTCTTAATTACATTTTTGGGAAAAGCCTATATAAATGAAATAATTTTGTCTGATTCCTTTCCTATGAATTTAAGTTATTTCATCGTACACAAAATGATAGTTATTACTGAAATTTTTTAAAAAAATTAAATTTTCCTTTAAATTATCAGGTGTTTTTTATTTGTTCTTGCAACAAGAATGCAAGTTTCTCAAGGACAAAGATGACTGATAAGGTAAAAATGGTAATTATTAAAATTTTAATCATTCTAAATAAAGAGACATACTCTTTTACTTTAAATTTTCTGAGAATTAAGATATATAAAATTGCTTAGCTTTTTTATGACTGATAAAACTGGATGAAAAGTTCTATGTAAAAATATGATTAGGGAGTGACATCAGCAAGATGGGTAAATAAGACATAGCCTCACTCATATACCTCTCACAAGAACAAAAAGTTAGTAACCAACCAGAGACAGACTGCCTCTGTGGAAGCAATGGGATCCAGCCCCATGTGTCAATGGACCTGGGAAGAGTTTGAATACACATGCATCATGACCTTGGTCCTGGCCATGGACTTTGAAGTGGCCCATGAACTGGCTCCAGCCCTCTTGACTGCACTGCAAGGTTCCCTGGAGAGCACTGACTTTTACCATCACCCATGGACAAGAGCCTTTGTGGAAGTCTAGTGGTCCTGCAAACACATTGCTGGAACAAAAATTCTGAAATGGTACTCACTGGAGAGAGTAAGAAGGACAGCTTGACTTCACCTGTGTCACCTAATCCCCAAGGCAACAGAGCTTAGTGCCAAGAGAACCCTTTGGGTCTATTTTTTTCTCCCATGGGGGAAACTGAGAGCATATGAGTGCCCAGCTGAGCAGGACACTGCCAATGGGACCCATTTCATCTCACCCTATCCAGAATATTGAGTCATGAGTGTAAGACTTGGGGTTGGTGAGCAGCTGGGTGAACCAGCAGACAGAGCCTAGAAGAAAAAGTTTCAAGGGCATCCAGATCCAAATAACTACAGCAGTGTCTTCATTAGGAGGCCTACAGATGAGCTGCTGGGACACCTAACTTGCCTCTAGCACTCCCGAATGTCTCCATGACACATTTCCACACCCCACATCCAGCTTGCTGTGTGCACGCACAATGGAGGTGAAAGCAAGATTTGGCTAATGGCTAGTGGACATGTGCAGAAGGCCAGCCTGACTCTGTAGACCAGAAGAGAACACAAGCTTGAGCATTCAGCACTGCCCTTGGGAAAGCAAAAAGGAGGCTGTCACACCCAGTCTAGTTCATTGTAGGATTGTTAGAGGGCACATAAGTGTAAGAATCCTGCCACAAGAGAGAACAAGAAGTTTGGAGCAGACCTATCCAGAGAGAGTCTGAGAAAGCACCAGAATTGCTAGCGGAGTAAAGAAAGATATTTCTCCCCTGGAATCAGACAGCAGAAACTGGAGAAGGTTACCTCTACCTTCAATGCAAAGAGAGTAACACAAAATTTCAAAAAACGTGAAAAATTAAGAAAACATGACACCATAAAAGATCAAAATTTTCTTCTAGTAAATGACTTCAAAGACATGGTGCTTTGTAATTTACTCAATAAAGAGTTTAAAATAGCTGTTTTAAGGAGACTCATTGAGCTATAAGAATGTACAGATAGACAATTCACCAAAATCAATTCCACTTCTGGTTATATAGCCAAAGGAAATAAATCCTAATATTTAAGAGATATCTACACTCCTAAATTCATTGCAGCATTATTTATAATAGCTAAGATATGGATATAATCTAAACGTTCTTTGACAAATGAGTGGATAAGGAAGAGACATTTAACAATGGGATAGTATTCAGCCATGAGAAAGAAGAAAATCTTGCCATTTTGTGGCCATATGGATGAATCTCAAGAATGTTATGCTAAGTGAAGTCATACAGAGGAAGACAAATATTATATGACTAGAGGCCCAATGCATGGATTTGTGCACTGGGGGAGGGGGTCCCTCAGCCCTGCCTGCACCCTCTCGCAGTCTGGGACCCCTCAGGGATCAGGCCTAACCCAGCAGTCAGACATTCCTCTCACAGTCTGGGGCTCTAGCAGTCTGGGACTCCTCGCTTATTACTGTCTGCCTGCAGTGGAAGTGGGAGAGGCTTCTGCCACTGCCGGACCACTCGTCAGCTGTGAGTCCAGCTTCTGGCTAAGTGGAGCTCCCCCTGTGGGAGCACTCTAACCACCAGGGGGCAACTCCTGCATTGAGCACCTGCCCCCTGGTGGTCAGAACATGCCATAGCAACCAGTTGTTTGGCTGTTCGGTCAATTTGCATATTAGGGTTTATTATATAGGATATCATTCATATGTGGAATCTAAAAAAAGATGAACTTACAGAAACTGAGAGTACAGTTGTGGTCTCCAGGGCCTGGGTGACTTGGGAAGTTAGGAGACATTTGTCAAAGGGTACAAACTTGCAGTTATAAGATAAACTAGAGGCCCATTGTACGAAATCATGCATGGGTAGGGTCCCTAGGCCTAGCCTGTTATCAGGGCCATCTTCTGCCCACTGGCCAGTCCCCAGTCCCATTCTGTGCCACTCACCGGTTCCCTGTAGTTCCCCATTCACCCCCATGCTGTAATCAGAGCCTGCGGGCCATGGGGAGGGACCAAGATATTGTCTGTTCTGCCTGCTCCTCAGTCCCCAGTTCTGCCTCACCACCACCAACTCAGTTCCCTGTGGTTCCTCATTCGCCATGCTGTGATCAGAGCCTGGGGGCCGGGAGGGAAGGACTGAGAGGTGGTCAGTGAACCTCATAGCGACTGGTTGAGTGGTTGTTCCAGTCATTACGCAGTTATGGTTGCTGGGCTTTTATTATATAGGATAAGTTCTTGGAATCTAAGATGCAGCATAGTGACTAGGGTTAAGAGTACTGTATTATACACTTGAAAGTTACCAAGAGAATAGAATTTAAATGTTTCACTACACACACACACACACACACACACACAACGATTATGTGAAATGACAGAGGTGTTAACTAACAAAATGTTGCAATATTAAGTGAATGACTTTATTACTTTGTACACTTTAAACTTATATAATGTTAAATATTAATCATATCTTATTAGAGGTAGGAAAAACATAAAAATTTAAAACATTATAATGTGATAGGTGAAAAGGTAGAACACTATGAATATTCTTTTCTGTACTGAAAATATTTTATGCATACATCTGTATATATAATTAGTAAAATAATAGAGTTAAATACTTTGAATAAACAGTATTTGTTGAATTACCTATAGAGAAAGTTAATAAGGAATGTAAAATTGTATCAATTTTAGAGGTTAGGCATGCCATTAAAATTTATCTATACAATGTGATAGTCCCCTCATGGAGTATTTCAGAGTAGAAAATTCAAGAAGTCAATCCAGGCAATGAAAAAAAAAAATATGAGCTGTCAAAAACCATGAAAATCAATATTATAGAACTCTGAAGTATAGTTGAACACTTAAAGCATTGAGAGTTCTGCTCAATTAAGAAAATAGATGGTAAATTTTGAGGAATTTTGCCATTTGCATAGAATCAACCATCTCTCTTCCTCCAGCCCCATAGGAGGTAGTTGTGGGAAAGGTGGACTGAATTTCTGGTTTCTGTTCCTAGTGTGTCTTGCTGGTGCCAGTTCGGCAATAAGATCTTTATTCCCCAAGAATTGAGCATGTATTTTAATTTTCCTCTTGGTTCACTGAGGGTCCAGTGTGGGGTCTGGCTATTGTTCTTGCCTCCTTGGGCTGAAATGACTTCCTGGGTTGGGTCTGCAGAACCCATTTATTTTTGTTTCTTTTCTTACTGGATTCAAATGTTCAAGGAAATCTGTCAGGTCACCGACTGACTGCAGAGATAATAAACACTCAGAAATTTCAAGCCAAGTAAGTGGAACTGCCCAAAGGCAAGATATAAATTTTATTTGAACGTGCCTGGCAGTGGGAACTGTGTCACTACTTCACTTTTCTTTAACTTCTAAATGTTTGGCCACGGTCTCTGGATCTTAATTAGATACCCTCTGAATTCCACATCTCTCATTTCTTGTTTCGTACCCTAATCATTAAGTCAATTTAAAACTTGCCAGTGTTGAGACAATTTCTGATTCCTTTCATCTATAAATTGCATGAAATTTTTAAAATGTCTGTTTGATTCAAAAACAAGGTTATCCTTATAATCTATATTCCTAAATTTTTATTTCTATTATACTACTTTAATCTAATAGTTAATTTGTTTTATAAAGTTGGTCATAGCTCACTTTTATGAATGTTATAAGCCTTCAATCATGTGGTTAGTTTTCTGATGACAGTGTTTATGTATGTTAACATATTTCTAAAGTAAAGAAAAATGTAATGTAATGAAAATAAAGGCCACAGCTAAGTTCAAATATCTATAAAATAATAAATGTCTTGTAAGCAGATACCTATTTAATAACAAAGTACTAAGCATTGAATCGAAGAAGAGAATGGAAATGTCATCTGTTATGCATCTTTGACTCAATCTGATCTTGTTGTTGTTTATCTTCCTCAATGTTATCCCATTAGCTAAAGGGATGTAGAGGCTGAGACTCCGCTGGCACAGTTCCTGTCTCTGGCTCTGAAACAGCAGGGTGTTCTGGGATGAATATTGAGTGGGAGCAGTGGGCTCAGAGAATCTTTCCGTCCTGCTAAGGCAGGCATGGGGAAAGGACCAGCTGTGGATTTGCTGTGCATGGCAGAAGATACTGAGAAACTATCTACGTGGAATGAAATTTCATCCACATTAATGCAAATGCTATGAGTTTTATGTAGCTCAAATAAAAATTAAATTCTAAGATTTTCTGAAAAGTTTAGAACAAGTTAATATTATGCCTCCTGTTTCTGAAACTAAATTTTAAACTCTAGTATCATTTTCCTACATTTAACTATGAAACATTTATTATTCTTTAAATATCACTTGCACCGTGTAAGGCATATAAAGGATATATTATATTTAATTATGTTTATAATTTTAAAAGAGCATAAAAACACAAATTGAGAGAACTGTATTCTTTCGAGGCTAGAAAAGGGATATCTGAATAGATTGGAATTTCTCTCCCAAGTAAATACGATGCCAAATTGATACACTCATTCTATCCATTTATTTTCTAAGTAAATGTACAAAGCCATGGTCAGCTAATGTTGGCTCAGCACTTGGTTTCATAGGTAGAGAACGCTAGATTCTACGGGTAACTGCTTTTCCTGTTTATTAAAAAATAACTTGGGTATTATATTGGATAGACTAATATTGTTACAGGAGATGAATTATGGGCCATACATATCATCCATTTGTGAAGCTACTTTTTAGATTTGCTTTTCCTATGCCCTGAAAAATAGATATGAATAGGATATGAATAGAAGATATATTTTTATAAGAAACATTATTCAAAGATATTAAACTGGATAGATTCCATCAAGTTGCTAAGTCTTAGTATTTAATACTGTCTATTAAGTTAGTATACTTTTATAATCCCAGAAATTTAAGAATACCAATTGAAAACTGAAAATGTGTTGATTTAGAAAGGAGGTAAAACAGTCTCTGGCCAGAAGCTAATTCTAGCAGGGCATAATAAAATGCAAGAAGTCCTCAAAAGGTTGATGAGCTTCTATATTCAGCAGGGCTGAATCATTTTATTGCCTCTACAACAGCTGAAAGCATTTCCCCAAACCTGAAAATCTACCTGTTATTACCTCCTGCTGGCCAAACGGCTGAGCAGCTGTAGGCATTTCCCCAAACCTAAAGATTTGCATATATTATTGCCTGCTAACTGACAATGCCTACTGTATACCAAACCTTAACCTTTGATATGTATATCTGCTTTGCTTTAGGGCAATTTGTGTTAATAAAGAGCAAGGGGTCTGGAGATTCAGAGAGAACTTGGTTATTATAGCTAAGTCTCCTCTGGCTCCCCCATGTATTCCAAATTTATACTTTTAGTCTCTTTAATTTACCTGCACTCCCTTCTCCAGATTCCTGAACCCTTCTAGATTCTCAGAAACACCCCAGCATTCTCTTGTATTACGTTACTCTGATTCACCTAACCATCTAGAACACAGGCAGTGACAGATAGGCATTAAGAGATACTAACTACTTAAAGAATAATGACAGAATCATGAGTTCAAGAAAAAGCTCAGAAGAAAAGAGTAAACCTCTGCCTGCGGTGGTCTCAGCATTGCACCTCCTTGGTAGTATAGTGTCAGCTGGTAAAGGAAAAGGTCATAGAAACATGTAGGTGAAATTAAACAACCCACACATTGATGATTAGGCTTTTAGGTTTCTCTCTTATAAATAATGAGATGTGCCTATCCTTTTCCATCTATACTCTGGAGTGCATTGAAAAGGCTAACAATAGGTTCTATTATAAGAAGATTTTTAAAAGTCACTTTCAAGAAGCTGTTAATAATTACATATTTTAACTTGCTTTTGAAATGAACTTATTGCAAAGCTTTCTAAAGCATAGTGATATTAATATAGCACATATAGCATTAAGGCTGAACCTTATTTCCCTCAAATTCACATGTAATGTCATGATGTCATATTTGCTATACTCAAAAATGTGCATAACTGGCTAACTCCCAGGAACTCTGGACTCACACAAACAGTGTGATCAAAATAAGAAAGTAATTAGTCAATAATCATTCAGCTGTCATTTTCTATATAGTTTTTGGACACAATAATATATTCCAGGGAACCTAAAAATAAAGATTAATTTGTGTTTAATTGAGAACAATGCCCAGTGTAGTCAACTTACATCAAAGAAATGTGCTTTCAAATAACTTTTTCATTTAAAACTGAAGTTAAAATGTGAACCAAAAAAGTGAGTAGACAAAATGCATGAGGGTATATTGGTTTCATTGTATGTGATGTGCACAAACCCAATTAGTTTCCATTTAATGCATTCTGATATGTATTAACCCCTTCCCCAACAAATTTTTTGTTAAAAACGTTTCTTTTTCAGACTAATTTTTTTATTTTGGTTCTATATAGTATTTTTGATGCTGGTTATGAAAACAGTTTGTAATTATTTTTTCTTCCCATTTTTGTGGTTAAGAATAGTATTTCCTCAGAAAGTTTCTAGATGAAATTATTTAGAATGGTACGTATGTAGCTGGTTTTTGAAGGTAAAGTTTTAGACGAGTATACTCGACGACGACTGAAAAAAGAACATTTTGTGAAAACGTGTATACACGTTTCTGCCGGGGAAGGGGTTAAAGCATACTCTGTTATGTATTTCTTATGGAAATAATCCCTGCCTTAAATTTTACAGTGTGAACATTCAGAACTATCCAACCAGTACAATTCAGACATTTGCAGCTTACAAGCTGACAGATGAAAAAGCTGGCACGAACCCTCAGTTAGGTTTCTGAGTCAGTACCAAGGGCAAAAGCACAGACAGGATGATCTGTTCTCTGTGACACATCAGTGAGCTTTCAATAAAGGAAAACTAATAGATGTCCAGTGTTAAACCTGGAGCAAAGCAGAGACGGGAGCAAAACCCGCTGAGGCAGGCTTCACTCCTGCTCCGCCGCCCAACTGGTTTCCCTCCCTCCCCACCGCCAGGCTGGTTTCCCTCCCACTCCGCCTCCTTTCTGGCTTGTTTCCCTCCTGCTTGCCTCCTCCGCTGCCTTGGCTCCTTTCCTGTCTCCACTGCCCCTACATTGCTCCTTTCCCTTCTTCAGTGCTTCCCTTCCACATTGTCTTCAGCGTTTGCTTCAGCAGCTGGTATATGCAAATTAACTGCCATCTTGGTTGGGTTAATTGGCCTATAGTCCCTCTGATTGGCTGGTGGGCCTAGCAAAGGTACGGTCAATTGGCATCTTTGTCTTTTATTAGTGTAGATATACCTAAGCAACCGTTACAGCAGAATGACCGTACACTATGACATGCACTGAGAAGGAAGGCAGGCAAGTGGTTAGGGGCGAACAGGCAGGCAGGCAGGTGAACGGTTAGGGGCAAGTGGTCCTGGATTGCGAGAGGCAAGTCAGACTGCCAGATGTCCGAGTGCAGGGATCGGGCATAAATCAACAGTGGGACATCCCCTGAGGGGTCCCTGATTGTGAGAAGGTACAGGCTGGGCTGAGGGACACTCCCACCTCTGTGCACAAATTTCATGTACTGGGCCTCTAGTAGTTAAATATTAGAATCCCTATGCTTATCATGGTTGATTTTTACAGAAAAATAAAAAAGTTTCTAGTTCTCTCTCTCTCTCTCTCTCTTTTTTTTTTCCAGAAATTGTGATCTTGGGATTACTGAAATATTTTAATGCTATTGTTTCCTTTTATACTCATATTCTGTTTTGTTTTCTGGCAAATTTCTTGGTGAGAAACTTCAACATAAAAATGGGCATTGGCGCCCTGTCTGGTGTGGCTCACTTGACTGGATTGTTGTCCTGTACACCCGAAGGTGGTGGGTTAGATTCCTGGTCAGAGCACATACCCAGGTTTCTGGTTTGATTTCCGGTTGGGGTGCATGTGAGAGGCAAACTGATCAATGTTTCTCTCTCTCTTTCTCTCTCTCTCTCTCTCTCTCTCTCTCTCTCTCTCTCTCTTTTTCTCCATCTCCCTTTCTCTCTCCCTCTTCCTCCCCCTCCCTTCCTCTCTCTAAAAATCAATAAAAATAAAAAAGTAATTCTGATAGGAAAATAAAGCAGAATTTTTAAAAATGTGCATTGGTGAGTGAGATTGAGGGATTTCAAATAAGAGTAAATGAACCAAATAAACTGATGATCAAAAATAGACCCAGAGTCATAGAAGCATAAACAGACTGTTGAACCTCAGAAGGAAGGCAGGGGAGAGTGGGTGGGAAGAGATCAACCACTGAATTTGTCTGCATATATCCATGACCCGTGGACACAGACAATAGGGTGGTGAGGGCCTGGGGTGGACAGATGTCAGGAGCTGGTTGAAAGAGGTTAATGAGGAGGAAAGGAAGACCTATATAATACTTTCAACAGTAAATGTTTTTTTAATCCAAAAAAGAGTAAATGAAATAAACTTTTAAAAGTATGTTTTATTTATTCAAAAGAGACTTCATTTATTTAACAAATTTCAAAAAACTTGATTGCATAAAGACATTTTTAAAAGTAAAGCTCATATACATTTGAATTAATCTAAAGTATAAAGTATTTTAATAATTGCCATTAAGTTTAATAATAAGAAAAAAAATCCTGATTTATTAATACCGTATTTGCCGGCGTATAAGACGACTGGGCGTATAAGACGACCCCCTAACATTTCCACTCAAAATACAGAGTTTGTTATATACTCACCGTATAAGACTACCCCCTCTTCCGCACACCTTCCACACACCAAATAAAAGGTAAAACAATATCAGATTTGATTTTAACATTTTAATTTAT